ACATTCGCCATGCAGTTCCTTTCTGCTGGCAGGGCATAGGACCGATTTGCGCACGTCCCTCAGTTAATCAGGACAGGTGATAACTCGGCACCTTTATACGTGTTCAATGGGTATATTTTGGCCGAGACAACGGGCTCGGAGAGCCCACGTTAAAAAGGCTTTGTGCCGCAGGACGCCCTCGTGGGGGAGGGTGACTGAATATAGTCAGTCAGTCATTCACTTTCTCGACCAGCTGTTCGGTTGAACTCTCTGCATTCGGGTGGGAAGGAACCCGAACGAGGCAACGCCAAGGGGCGGAGTTTTGTTCGGGGAGGTAAACCTCCCTGATCCCGTTTATACGGGTCCAACGGCCATATTTTAGGGCCGAGCCCACGGGCTCGGAGAACCCACAATAAATAACCGACCTTGTGTCAAATGATGCCCCAGTGGGGGGGACTTAATATCGTCAGTCAGTCGTTCACTTCTGAACCGACTGGCTGTTCGGTTAAACTCTCTGCCTTCGGGCGGAGAGGAACTCGAACGTGGCTACGCCGAGGTGCGGTGTCTCGTTCGGGGAGGTAAACCGGCCCTGAACCCGTTTATACGGGTTCAATGGGCATATTTTTTGGGCCGAGCCCACGGGCTCAGAGAACCCACAATAAATAACCGACCTTGTGTCACATGATGCCCCAGTGGGGTGGGGTGACTGAATATCGTCAGTCAGTCGTTCAGGTCTCGACCGGCTGATCGGTTGAACTCTCTGCCTTCGGGCGGGGAGGAACCCGCAAGTGGCTACGCCGAAGGGCGGATTCTCTTTCGGGGAGTTAAACCGGCCCTGAACCCGTTTATACGGGTTCAATGGGCATAATTTTAGCCGATCCCACGGGCTCGGAGATCCCACGTTAAACCGGCCTTGTGCCACATGATTCCCTCGTGGGGTGGGGTGATTGAATATCGTCAGTCAGTAGTTCAAGTCGAGTCAAGAGTCGAGTCAGAGGCAGTCCGAAACAGGATCGCGTCCAGACAATTACTGCAAGACATTGGAATAGTGATACTGGTCGAGACTACATTCTTCTCTCTACTAAACCTGATTGTTCATACTAACACTTCTACTTCTCTGTATATATTCCTGTTTGTAATATATCTGTGTTATTCCATACCTGTGTTCGAGTTCTTCTTTATTGCTTCTACCTTGGACTATCACCGTGGTACAAGGAACCGGACCATAACAATATAGGATTAAGGTTTGGGTAGGTGCAGACGTGAAGATATTATATTTGTAGAACTTGTACGTCTACAGTGGAAAGCTTCAAGGAAATACACTAAAGAAATATATAACCTCACCAAAAGCAATTTGGACAATGCAGACAAATTGGTAAGAGCAATATTCTTGTGCCTGACGTACCTCAAGATGACCTCTTGGGGTTTTTCATGAACTTTGGAGCCCTAAATATTGGAGCCCTAAATACTTTCATAATTTGAATATGGAAAAAACAAAGACTGGAACCGCCGCCTGAAAAATCCCAGATATCGATTCCTATTGGAGTTAGGCAAGAAACTGAAAAGCACAACGTTCTGCGCAGGACAAACAATCCAACTAGTCTCCACCTTTCAGTTGAAGCTGCGGTAGTAGTTGTTGCTAGCAACCAAAGCACATCATCAACATCATCAGTAGAACCAGAGGAGGAGAAGAGTCCTTTATTGTCATAGCAACAACGATCGGAACTTCAGCTAATCTTCTGTGAATGGAAATAATTTATCTTTGAGACTCATAGGAAAACCAACACACCTGTTATATGTGCTAAAGACTGTAGTGATAGCAAAAAATAAACCTGTACCATTTATTTTAGTGAAATTATATAGCTGTTTTTTTTTTTATTTTATTCAATCGAAATGTAAAACTGTCAACGATTTTATGTATAGGTTTGGTTTGGTTTGGTTCGGTTTGTTTTACGGCATATCAACCTCAATGAGTTATTTAATGCCGACAAGATTTTTAGGATAGATTCGTATGAATAGAATATGTATTCTTTGGCTTAGATTGGTTTGGTTTATTTTGTTTTACGGCATATCAACCTCAATGGGTTATTTAATGCCGACAACATTTTTAGGATAGATTCGTATGAATAGAATATGTATTCTTTGGTTTAGATTGGTTTGGTTTATTTTGTTTTACGGCATATCAACCTCAATGGGTTATTTAATGCCGACAACATTTTTAGGATAGATTCGTATGAATAGAATATGTATTCTTTGGTTTAGATTGGTTTGGTTTATTTTGTTTTACGGCATATCAACCTCAATGGGTTATTTAATGCCGACAACATTTTTAGGATAGATTCGTATGAATAGAATATGTATTCTTTGGTTTAGATTGGTTTGGTTTATTTTGTTTTTACGGCATATCAACCTCAATGGGTTATTTAATGCCGACAACATTTTTAGGATAGATTCGTATGAATAGAATATGTATTCTTTGGTTTAGTTTGGTTTGGTTTATTTTGTTTTACGGCATATCAACCTCAATGGGTTATTTAATGCCGGCAACATTTTTAGGATAGATTCGTATGAATAGAATATGTATTCTTTGGCTTAGATTGGTTTGGTTTATTTTTGTTTTACGGCATATCAACCTCAATAGGTTATTTAATGCCGACAACATTTTAGGATAGATTCGTATGAATAGAATATGTATTCTTTGGTTTAGATTGGTTTGGTTTTATTTTGTTTTACGGCATATCAACCTCAATGGGTTATTTAATGCCGACAACATTTTTAGGATAGATTCGTATGAATAGAATATGTATTCTTTGGTTTAGATTGGTTTGAGTTATTTTGTTTTACGGCATATCAACCTCAATGGGTTATTTAATGCCGGCAACATTTTTAGGATAGATTCGTATGAATAGAATATGTATTCTTTGGCTTAGATTGGTTTGGTTTATTTTGTTTTACGGCATATCAACCTCAATAGGTTATTTAATGCCGACAACATTTTTATTGTTAGTAATATACTTTTTTATAAAACCTGTTTCTGGTAATATTTTTTCCTCCAGAAAATCAATTTCTGG